GGGGGGGGGGGGGGGGGGGGGGGGGGGGGGGGGGGGGGGGGGGGGGGGGGGGGGGGGGGGGGGGGGGGGGGGGGGGGGGGGGGGGGGGGGGGGGGGCTGATAGAGACGTCTGTGGAGGGAACGGGAGGATGGGAGAGGAATTTACTTTAGCGGCCCTGGAGACCGATGCACAGAGGCGACTAGAGGGAAAGAGAGTGAGATAGGGCAGGCTAACACGTACAGTGAGGCAGGCACAAGGACGAAAATGGTTGGGTCATGAAGTTCATGCGAAGCATGAGCCGGCGGCGGCATCATTCCCAGACCGCACACTCGACTGCCCTTGAGTGTTGTTCGATTGAATGGCAAATGCTCGAGCGCACGGTGAGAATTGGTATCACGTGAGGATCCCTGGCCCCGAGAGGCTATCGGAATCCTTGATCCTCCCCCTTGTCGATGCTTATCAAACATTTCAACGTATAGATGGCCGTCCCACCCCCGGTCCCCCGTGTGCATCTGATCAAGATATGGACATGGAGCCGGCGGGAGGAGACGACGATTCCCTGGGATAAACTACGAAAGGAGCAGAGCCCAGCGGAACTGGCTGCTTTTCTGTGGTTCCTACGCTACCTGTCCGAAACGCCGATGTACTGCAGCAGAACCCAACGGAACTGCTATTTTACTTTTTCCCTCGTTCTTGCGTTGCTTGTCGCAACGGCGACATATGTCCCGTCGCTGGTGGATATGGCCATCGAGCGCTGTTCAGGGTGTTTGGGGGGGTGCGCACGCGTTGGGGTTCACATGGGCGTACCCTGGTGACGAGGCTGTGTTTTGTTGGCTGTTATTGGCCATGTAGCCGCCGTGTGGCCAGTGGGCAGCTGTACGTTTGTGTCTTGGGCAGGGGGGGAAGGGCTATCTCTACAAGGCGATGAGAATATTGTCACCCCTGACCCACCTACCGTTCCGCTCCACGCGAGCAGACATTCATGCGCCGGCGACGGGTTGTATACATAAGAGAATGCGCCTCTGGGAATGGCTGTACCTATCATGTCGAAGGCCTCCACCTCGGGCGAGAGGGGCCTAAGAACGGAACCGGCACGCGTTTGTAGTGAAGCGCCATCAAGCACAAGATCGAAGCATAAGCCGCCTTAGGTAGCAGTCAGTCTGCCCCAGGTTTTGATTGTTGCATGTTTTTTTGTAGAAAGGCAGTCTCGGGGTGTTTGTGTCTAGACTACTGGTACATGAAAGTAGCCAGAGACAGAGTCTTCGCGAAGCTTTTTTTTTGTGTCGACTCACCTCCGTCCCCCGACCTAGGTCGTCAGCCCACGGTAGTTTCAACTCTGTTGGTAGGGTAATAGTACATACATGTAGAGATACAACGATTTCCGACGGCATGAGCTCTTTTGGCTCTTCTTTTTTTGTATTTGGGATCGACGCTGTATCTGGTCTTAGGGTTGTGGTTGACTGCTTTGTGCTGACGATCGAGAGTCCATAAGTTGCTTTGGCTGTACGTAGTGTATGAATTTCCGTGGTTTGGCAACCGCCTACAAGTAGTTTTAGAACTAGACCGTCAACATCGCTGCATACAACGGGTGAAACCAAATGGGCAAACGCGAAAGCTGAGTTTCCACGGCCTACTTTCGTCCAATTTGCGGGTACGGAGGTAGGGGGATGTACCGTGTTCCAAGTTCATCACACCGTGTGCATGGATTCTTATTGTTTGCGATCTGACCGTGTCCATCTGGGCGTGAAATGCCGCCTCTACTTTGTGTTGGGTGGAGTCAAGCTGAGTCGATGAAATCGGGCCTGGCAGACCCGGGTATTCCAAAGGTGTTGTATCGTATTCACTTCCACGTCTTCGTGCTACAGGGTTTCTCAGGGGCTTGTTGATTTCGTTCTGTTTGTTATTCCTCCGATAAGAGCATTGATTGTTTTAGCATTTTTTTACGTACATTGCTCCTTTTGGTCGGGGGACGGCGGGTTACAGCCGTGCTTGGCATGTAGAAATATTCTCTCTCGGTAGATGGAGGGGTGGGGTCTCTGACAAAAATGTACACAACGATTGCTCTCGGCTTTCACTGTAGATTGAAGGGCCTTGTATACCCTACTTTTTAAACTTACTTGTGTCCAGGGTTTTTTTTGGGGGGGCCGGGAATTGTTTGGCGAGAGGTCACCCTACGCGCTGTACAGCAATACATACCGCACGCGACTCGAAGCGTTGGAGGAAGTGTTTTGGGGGAGCCGGTACACACTAGCTGGGTTCTTCGTATACCTTCCTCATCAGGCTGTGCTTGAAGTTTGAAATGAATAGTTCTTTGCAGGATGGTGTGGTGGCGTGGAGGGAGGAGCACTGGCGGGGGGGGGAAGGGGGGGGGGTCACCGTAAACCTGACCAATCCATACACGTTCTCAATCGAGCCTCTATTCTTGTCACTGCAGCCGGTGGCGTCTCGGAGCTAACTAGCTTATCGTAATAGCCTTGCCTCCTCGCGACTATTGGTACATTCGACAGATCGCTGTCTTGACGCCCGGTTTGCGACAAACGAGGGGTTCGATAAATGTGGTGTTCCGTAGTGCCCCCTCCTCAAAGCCGGTTGAAAAATTGCGCGTTTGCAAAACCCGGTGGAAACGGGATACTTCAAACAAAAAAAAACTCGTTGCCCGAGACAAGCTGTGATACCATTCTGGTGTACCGTGGTGGGCCCTTAACAACGCCGGTCGAATTACGGAGGGGGCCTTTTGTAGCGCTGGTGGATTTGCTGGGCACAGAGTGAAACTGCTTTGAATACCGCCGGTCCCTCTGAATATCCCCGGTCGATTCGCCGCGCACATATTGAGCACCCATTACTGCACCAGGTTTCGGGCTAGCTGACATGATGCTCGAGCCAATACTCAACCTGTGATATCAGAGTACATTACAAACATGAACACCTCGATTTTTTACATTTTTCTGTTCGACACGACAGAAGAAGCATCCAACCCCCCCAGCGAGAGGCCCGGTCGGATGTTGAATGAATGCGCTTTGGCGCGAAAAAGGTCTTTGAGTGAGATGAGTTGGGTTCTTGGCGTGAAGCACGCGCCTGAAAGGGGCGGCTTCAAAAATCCCACCGAAGCAGACAAAGGTGGCGAAGAAGAGCGGAATATATACCCGCAACTAGACAATGGGTGGTGAATGTAAATCTGTCCTCGTCCGCAGTTAGCTTTTGTCAACACATACGCGGAAGACGACATTGGATGAACAACACTTGCGGCATATTTCTACGGATCGATTGATCCGCCACCGAGTTGCGCCGTGTTTTTGGGAATGATAAGAGTGGTGTAGACTAGTCCCTGTAGGCTGTGATTGGCAGTGTTGCCAAACCACATGTATTCCCAGCTGCCCAACCCTCTACGTGTGGAGTGAGTGCTCCAACTCGATGGTGGCCAACAGCCGTCTCTTAATCGTCCATTATTGACCGAAAGCAAGTTCAGCGATGTAGACTAGACTGTATGTCCGATGTTCACTCCGTCAGGCCAAGAAAACCCAATGAAACCGACCTAAGAAACCTGACAACGAACATTGACGTGAACAGAGAGTCCCCCCTCATTCGTTACACGGGATGCCAACGGAGCCGCCTCTTGTGCCAAAATGTCATCGGCTAAGAACAAATACACACGTATCGAACGGCGAGCGCACAACGATAACGAGGACTAGTCTAGACTACATCCACAACAACAACACACAGCAAAAATATACAAGACACAATAAATACATACCAGCCAAGGTTGCGCGGAGCACGACTCATGGTGCCATCCACGCTCCATCATATCAACCAACATTCGATACAATTTGAAGAAACGCATGAATATGCGCAGAGCATTGCCAACATGCAAATAGATGTATGTATTCGTGCCCTCCACACGACAAGCAGCCAACGACAACAAAAAAAATCACATTGTTCTAAGACATTGGGCTGGTCTCATTCCGGAGTACTTATAGTGGACTATATCGTCATGCAAGAAGCAAAATCATGCAGCGCCCTCGTCCCCCTTCTCGACAAAAGAAGTCCTAAAAAAATTGTCTATGCACGTGTACAGAACCGGCGACTCAAGAACCGCCTTTTTTCAGACACGCAAAACATACATACGTGGGGAAGCCAGCAGGGAACATCTAGGTCCAACACACGTGAAAATCGCGCGCCCTCAAGTCTACAAAACTACTGTACCAAGGTCTCGATGTCAGGAAAATCGTGCGTCGAGACCACCAGTAGTCGGACACGGTTTGACCTTTCAATACGATTGCAGCAACTAGTCTGCGTAGCAGTAGAAAAGAGTTCATCTCTCCTTGGCATGTATTCTCTTGTTCTAGAAATATTCCGGAAGCATGCTAGGTCGAGGTTGACCAGGACATCTACGTCAACGTGTGTAGCTTCTGGAAGCCTTCTGGAAACTTCTGGTTCCTTCTGTGGCTTCTGAAAGCCTTTCTGGAAACTTCTGGTTCCTTCTGTAAGCTTCTGGAAGCGTTCTAGATCTAGGTTGTAGTTGACACTCTTCTAGAACGTAGGAGGGCTTCCAGAAACCATTCTGCATCAACTGGATCTTCCGGCATGCAGCGCCTGCAAGTCACCAGAGCCAGCACGCGCGGGAAGCCCACCAGCGACGATCATATCGACGTCAACTTGGTTCCTGCCAATCTGGAAGTCACCATGAACGACCGCGGTCGAGCCCATGCTACAACGGGCCGCGTGGAGCCATCCGGTCTTTCCTTCACTCAGCTGGCTGAGATAGCCGATCAAGCCCAGCTCCCATGCCCCGGCGATACTGAGGATTTCGCCCACGTTGCGGAAGACCCCTTCACGGTGCCGCGTGCTCACGCCTACGTCACGACCACTCACGAACACCACGGGATCTTGGAGGAGACGATTCAAGCGATCAAAATCCCCAACACCTACGACGAAGCCATGAGCTCTCCCCAGCGCGAAGAATGGAAAGGAGCGTGCAGCAAGGAAATGGACAATCTGCGGAAACACAACGTCTACAATCTGGTGCCCCTCAGCAGCGTTCCCAAGGGAGAGAAGATCCTCGGAACGAAATTCGTCTTCAAGAAAAAGCTGGACGGACGCTTCAAAGCTCGCCTGGTAGTCGGAGGACATCGTCAAGAGCCAGGACAGGACTACGGACGCAGCTACGCACCAGTATGCCGTATCGGGAGCATTCGCATGACGTGCGCCATTGGCTGCCACAACAACTGGCCCATCTACCAACTGGACGTTGTCGGTGCCTTCCTGAACGCCCTCTGCGACAGAGATGTGTACGTCAGACCCGCCCCCGGTACATCCGCCAAGAACTCCGCGACGGGAGAACCTATGGTGTACAAACTAGAACGGAGCCTCTACGGCCTATCGCAGTCGCCTGCGCTCTGGAACGACACCCTGGACGAATCCCTCACGGTGTTCGGATGGAAAAGGACTCAATCCGACCCCTGCGTGTACGTGTATACCAGCGGCAACATCATCGTGATTCTCACGGTCTACGTAGACGACATTCTCATCACAGGAGGAGACCAGCAGCTCGTGGACCAGAAGAAGAAGGAGCTCACGGATCGATTCGAGATGACCGACATGGGAGAGGTAAAGCGGATCCTCGGGATCGACGTGCAGCGGGACTACGAGCAAGGAACCCTGGCCATTTCACAGGAGCACTACGTGAACACACTTCTGGAGCGGTTCGGAATGCAAGAGGCCAACCCAGTGAGCACTCCTGGATACGGAGCGGAAATCTCCACGAATCAACCTCAGGACCAAATCCTAGGACCCACGGACAAGAAAATCTACCAGTCGATGACAGGAAGCATCCTCTACCTGGCCCAGTGCACGCGATTCGACCTCTCCTACGCTGCTCTACACCGTTCCAAGGCCTGCAGGAACCAAGCGCAGGTGAACATGACAGCAGCCAAGCACGTTCTGCGATACCTTCGGGGTAATCCAGTTCTTCCTATCGTCTACAAGAGAGGACAGTTTCGGCTAGCGGCGTTTACGGATTCATCCTTCGGAGCAAACCCCGACAACGGAAGATCTACCACGGGATATCTCTTCTTTCTGGCTGGAGGACTCATCAGCTACGGTGCGAAGACTCAAACTCTAACCGCACAAAGCACGGTCGAAGCCGAGATTCAAGCACTTAGCTACTCAGCCAGAGAGGCGGTCTACATCTCAAATTTTATGACGGAACTCAACTTCAAGACCTTCGGATCGGTTCCCATCAACAGCGACAGCACCGGAGCGCTGACAGTGGCCGGGAATGCCATGCACTCTCAACGCACGAAGCACGTGGCCCTGAGGTACTTTTTCATCCGGGAGCTAGTACTACGGGGACAAATTACGCTTCACCACCGGCCCAGCGAGCACCAGTTGGCTGATATCGCGACCAAGTACCTCCCAAAGCACCGATTCGCCTCCATCATTCAGCAGATCCAGGACTTCTCGTGTTGATCGAAGATCTGTGAAGCTCCCTTCCATACCAGAAGGAATTTATTTTCGATACGGTGCCAACGGAGGGGTCGAGGTAGACAAGGATATGGTGATGCCGTCGACCATTGTGAATTAGTTGCTTGATCGAGGGGTCGTGTCAGGAAAATCGTGCGTCGAGACCACCAGTAGTCGGACACGGTTTGACCTTTGAATACGATTGCAGCAACTAGTCTGCGTAGCAGTAGAAAAGAATCCATCTCTCCTTGGCATGTATTCTCTTGTTCTAGAAATATTCCGGAAGCATGCTAGGTCGAGGTTGACCGGGACATCTACGTCGAACGTGTGTAGCTTCTGGAAGCCTTCTGGAAACTTCTGGTTCCTTCTGTAGCTTCTGAAAGCCTTTCTGGAAACTCCTGGTTCCTTCTGTAAGCTTTTGGAAGCGTTCTAGATCTAGGTTGTAGTTGATACTCTTCTAGAACGTAGGAGGGCTTCCAGAAATCATTCTGGAAGCATTCTGGATCTTTCGTGTGATTGGCTTATTTGTCCGGTATTCGAGAAGAGTGGTGCAGCCCTAAGCTCGCCCACTGCTCTCACTCCTCTTCAGTACCAGCAACATCTGACTCGGGAGTCAGCAACTAATAAAAGCATCTTCATATTTCCATTCCAAGTCTCTCGCGGTTGGAGACGCACAGATTGTAAACCTCTGAGGTAGGCCACACAGCCTCCTGGCATCTGCAGCATCGTACTGCTGCTAGTGCACAGCGAAATATCTCTGACACTCGAGTGAAAGGGCGCATCTGTACGCAATACACTAGCGCGACTCTGAAAGAATACGGAGCTGACTCCCCAAGGAATACGGAATCACAATCCACACGGTTCTCTGTCTGTCTTTCTGTGTCTCTTTCTCCCTCTCTCTCTCTCATAAACACCATAAAACCACGAACACGAACACCAAGGTCTCCCAGACGCCGGACGCCCGATACCAACACACTCGTCTCTCATCACAAAACCTTGAACGCAAGCTTTGTTAGGTGTTTTCATTTCCTCTATACTTGTGCCCCAAGGGGGACTGGCCACAATACAGCGGCGCCACAAGGATGGCCACGCGTCTCGACCGTCAGACTCAGCAGCTCTGACGATGCAACAACTGGTAGAACGAGATGCCAACTCTCGGCCATATTCCCGCCTCCCCCTGGCCACCAGCAACACCAAGTTTTTTGTGCTGCGTACCAACCGGGAAAGCAGAAGAACACCCAAGAGGGAAAAACAAACAACGCCGCCACATTACACAGAGCGGCTGGGCTATTCCGCGCCCATTTCGTCGTGTGCAGAATGCGTGTGCACATCGACGGACCCAGGTTGACCCAATCGTAAAAATGATACTTGACAACTTCCGTTCGACAATAACGCGGCTTAGAAAAACAGAGACGCCGACACCCGGCGCGCCAAATGCACCGCCACCGCCAAACCGAAGAAGAGGGGAGCTCCGTGACTGCCCCCTGCCCCACCCCCGAGGACCGGAGAAGAGAACGGCGAAGAAATCGCCATCACGGACGAGCTCCCGCTCGTCAAGCCGGCGACATTGTCGGGAGTGGTGGGGGGTAGGGCGGGGACAGGTGCACGGGTGCCATCGACGTCGACCTCGGCCACCGGTGACGCCGCAATCCAGAACGGAGCGTGGGAGGGCGGCAGCGGAGACGGGGACGGCGCTACCGGCACCGGGGCGGGGGTGGTGGCCGTGGCTCCCGAGTCGTCGGTGGTGATCTCGCGGTCGGCGGCGGTGTCAAAGCTGCTGCTCCTCCCAGATGAAGAAGAATCTCCGACATACGGCACGGTTGATTCGTCCGCCGGTGAGGACGAGGATTCCCCGCTCCCGCCCTCGTTGCTGTTGACACTGAGAGAACTCGTCACGCCGCCGCCACCGTCGCCGCCCCCACCGCCGCTGCTGCTGCCGCTGCCTGCGCCGGACACCCCGCTGGCGCTGGTGCTGGCGCTGGCGCTGGCGCTGGCGCTGCTGCTGGCGCCGCCGCCGCCGCCGCCGCCGCCGCCACTCCCCCCGCCGCTGCCGCTCGCGCTGCCGTAGGCAATACTGGTGGGGGCCGGGGTGGGGGCGCTACCCCCACCGTCCAGCGATATCGCGACGAAGTCTTCCGTCGTCAGTCCGGTCGTGTCGTCCCCTGTTGTTGTTGCCGAGTCCTGCCACGTCGCTTCAGAGGTGCCGGCGAGGACGATCGAACCGCCGCTACCGATCGAGGTGGCGGCCGTCACCCAGTCGCTGCCGGCGTTGCCGTCCTACAGTAATGCGAGTGCCGGGGGGCGGCGGCGATCGATTTTCAGTGGCGGTTCGAAACGTCGTGAGCTACAATAAGTTGTACCACGGGGAAAAAAGTAGTAAGCAACCAAGCCGGCGAGCGAGCAAGTAAAGCAACGTAGCAGTGCCAACAACAAATCCCCCGAATTTTATCTTAAGTTCATGCCGGCCAGCATCATGACAGGAAGAAGGGTCAAGAAGCCAGCCTCTTCCTGCGCGGTGTTGCAATCAATCTCCATGCTTTCGCCTCGTCAGATAACCAAAATTGTTCTTCATTCTGTTATTTGTATTTGTAGCTAACCTGCCATCGCCATAGGACTTCCCCTTCCGGGGAAAGCTTGACGGCGATCAGGTCGGAGCCGCCGGCGCCGGCATCGGCGGCCGCCCAGTCGCCCTCGGAGTAGCCCGCCAGCACGAAGCCGCCGTCTTCGCAAAGGGCCGCGGCGAAGAGCCTGTCCTTTAGAGAAGTCCCCTCCTGTGTGGCGTTTTCGGGCGTGAATTTGAGACGGTCGGTCGGCCTTCGACGAAACCATGTGCGTGTATGTTGGTTCGTGAATGATGAAGTGAAACACGTAAGGCATGGGTGTACCGCCACCTCTTGGGAAGGTCCTCCTTTCGTGTCCGTCCTCGAACAATAACTGCTCCCATTTCGATAACCCCCTCCCTTGAGTGTTGAAGTCGTCGAATACTCGCCGCGTGTACAACGCATGCGACCAAGAGAGCTAGAAGTGGATACTGGAGCAGCCGCTATGCGGCACGCCGAAGCGTGCAGAGGGCGCGGAGTGCCACGGCGCGCGTCAGACAGACACAGACAACTGCCCAGACAAACGAAAATGACGTATCGCATTACAAAAGAAAAAAGAAACAGTCGTGGTAACCCTTCTTGTAGTTCTGGATACATAGCCACATTTTCCTTCCTGCTAAAAGTATATCGAAACCTCCCCGGTACAGCAGCATCCCCGGCGGGGGCGGTGCATCCACAATGGTGGAACTTCCAGCAATCACCTGCCAGTGCCAGAGCTCGTTTCCGTCCTTGTCGAGCTTAACCACGACCAAGTCTTCCTCCCCGGCGTTGGCCTCGCTCCCGTCCCAGCTCCCCACGGTATATCCCGCGAGGACGATGGACCCGTCCTCTGCCACCACCGTCGCGGAACAGACGTCGGACTCGGCCGTGCCTCCCTGTTGTGCGCCAAGGGAGGGGTTCGGGCTTTCGTATTCAGCGGTCGGCGCGTGGGGGGAGAAGTACACCTTCCAAATGGGTTCTCATGCCAGTTGATACGGAAATTCTTGTGGGGACTGGAGACGGTTCCGGAAGATTTCACGCCACACGGAGCAAGGGCACAACCAACGTGGCGGGTGTTGTCGGGACGAGAGGGGGCGCAAGGCAAACCGTGAATGGGGGCGGGCGTGCCCGCGCATACAAAACAAGGGGGGCCTGCGGACTGTACCTGCCATCTCCAAAGCACCCCTCCGTCGGCGTCGAGCTTGACGACGGTGCAGTCCGTTTCGCCGGCGTTAACGCCGCCCAGGCTCCCGTCCGTATACCCCGCCAGCACGACCGTGTCGTCCTCCGCCGCAGCGACGCTCTTGAGGGTGTCGTCTCCGCTCGATCCGTCCTGTTGGGGTGATATTCAGGTGTGGACGAGTGGTGTGAGAAAGCGCGGATGGACATCCGCCAAGCAACAACGTTCACGTTTCGCCTTCACGTATGACCATCGAAGGGAAACAGTCGGTTTGTTGTTTCGGGGTCTATGGTGCTTTGACGGCCGACAGCATGCATATCTCGAAACTGATTTACGAACGCGGCCTTGGGTGTAGCTTGCGGCTTGAGCGACGGTTCCAGTAGAGTCTCTGGGTGGCGCTCGACGTGTACTGGCATACCGTGCCTGGCAACATCCGTGCCAAGTGGAAACCCACTACCAGATGGAGGCTTGCGCACTCTTTCTTCAAGGAGCAAACGTCACGCGCAAAAAAAAAGAACGCTATACATACATATAAATGCATAGTCTGCATACTATATATATACATACCTGAAACCGCCAAATCTCGCTCCCGTCACCAGCTTCGAGCTTCACTGCGGCGAAGTCGGTGCCTTCGCCGGCGTTCGCGTCCGCCCAGTCCCCCCCCGTTCGTCCCGCCAGCACAACGGCGGAGCCCCCTCCGCGCTCGACGAGGCCGACCAGGACGTCGTCTTCTTCGGTCCCGTCCTGTCCGGAGAAACCAAGCACGAGGGGGGCACCATCCATGCATGTTGTGCGCACACCGTTAATGTTTACGCCGTGCTACTTGTCGCACTCCGCACGCCGCGCCATGCATCGCGACCACGTGGAGGGTGCTCATCGCGTATGTATGGTTTATTGCTTGTTGAAAGAAACGTTTTTTTGCTTTGTGCACGTGCTCAACACGCCCGGTTGTCGACGCTAGCGTGCCCACGCTTTTTTCACGCATCAATTCAGCCGGCACTTGCACACAAGCCCTGACGACGTACCAGCCAGTCGCAAAAACAAACATATCGTTCTCCCGATGCTATCCTTCTAGAACCCAGAGTGGCAGTCTCCCGCGGGGGGCGGGGGGGGGGGGGGGTACATTCCTTGATCTACCAAAGCGATCTACCAAAGCACTTGACGCTCGCCACGGGCAGAGAGAGAGAGAGAGACGCTGGGAGGGTTGGATCGGAGCTGTTTTCGACGTGAAGGCAACAGCAACAACATACAAAAATGGGACGTTCTCCTGCGGATAGAGATGGATGGAATAGATGTGCTTCACTCAGAACAATANAACCCAGAGTGGCAGTCTCCCGGGGGGGGGGGGGGGGGGGGGGGGTACATTCCTTGATCTACCAAAGCGATCTACCAAAGCACTTGACGCTCGCCACGGGCAGAGAGAGAGAGAGAGACGCTGGGAGGGTTGGATCGGAGCTGTTTTCGACGTGAAGGCAACAGCAACAACATACAAAAATGGGACGTTCTCCTGCGGATAGAGATGGATGGAATAGATGTGCTTCACTCAGAACAATAAAGAAGAAAATCTGAACGTTCCACTCAACCGTTCGTTGCCATTAACACGTCGTACCTGCCAGCTCCACAATCGGCTCCCGTCGCCAGACGCCAAGCTGACCGCCACGAAGTCACTGCCGCCGGCGCTCGCTGCCCCGTTCCAGCCTCCCTTCGTGAATCCCGCGAGGACGATCGCGGTCGACTCGTCGCCGGCCGCCGACGTGCCTGTCGCCGCCATGGTGGCGACCGTGCTCGGAGAACCCGAGGCGGCCGCGGCGTCATGAAACGTGTCCGTCTCGGGCGTCCCCGCCTGTCGCCGAGCAAACACAAACAAATGAAGGCGTGGGGTTGTCGTAAGGGAACGGCGGCCACGTTGTCACGACGATGGTCCGTGCAGGAGAAGAAGAAGCGCCAAGCAATGGGTCGGGGTTCGAGATGTCTTGTCGATCCCCACTTTAAGAAAGCCATCCATCCCGTTGTCTAAATACGGGGAAACAAGGACGATTCTATGTACCCCCCACCCACTGATGACCGTGGTAGGTTTGTAAGAAGGATTTCCTGGCGGGTAGCAAACAGCCCACTTACCCCCACCCTGCTTGCGAATGACACTTGCCACGCGGTACAAAAATCAACAACAATCTCCTTTCGACTGCTCTAGTATATTTTCTCGATCGAGTAGATAGCCTTTCAGCGACGGCCGTATATATATATTGAAAACAACGCAAGACACCTGTAGCCTCCACTGCTCCGTGCCGTCTTGGGCAAACTTGACCGCCATGAAGTCGAAGTCGCCCTCGTTTGTCTCGGCCCAGTCGCCCTGCGTCCGTCCCGTGAGGACGAAGGAGCCATCTCCGCCCACCGCCGCGACACCGTACAAGTTGTCCGTTCCGCTTGTACCGCCCTGGTGTGTGTGTTTTGTCACACACAGAGAGAGAGAGAGAGAGAGAGAG